AGTGACCGTTCAAAGTTACAACAGCACTGAAAAAAGTGACTTATGACTGTTTTTCACAGTTACGACCATTGCAGCATCCCTGTAGTCACGTCATCAAAATTCAGATACTTGGCAACTGGTTCATACTTATGACTGTTGCTGTGTCCCAGGATCACTTGATCCTCTTTTGCAACCTTCAGATAAACAAAGTCAATGGGGAAGCCAGATTCATTTAACAACCATGTCCCTAATTTAACAACTGTGGGGATTCACTTAACAACTGTGACAAGAAAGGGCGTAAAATAGAGCAAAATTCACTTAACAAATGTCTTGCTTAGCAACAGAAATTTTGGTCTCAATTATGGGCCATTCTATGTCAAGTGGTCTGATGTCAGAAAAGTGCCCAGCTTGACCATCACGGATTTCGATAAAATTTGGTGTGAACATGCACACACATCCCCAATTAACACTGGATGAAGATACCCTATTTTTGGCGTTTTTAAAAAAACGGTCAACTTTACACTCAATTTGTAAACTATTGGAAAGCAGTAGGAGAATGAAATTTTATATTCTAAAACCTTGTGTTGCTACATTATTATGCACAAAGTTTCACGTTTCTCATACCTTTCCTTCCAGAGATATAAAAAGCCAAACTTTAACCTTTTTTCGAGCCGCAGTCATTTTTGGCCAACTTTGCTCCAACTTATCTAAATGGAGATCGCTCATGAGAATGTTTTTATTATTTTATTTAATAGAACGCAAGTTGTACAAGATGACCAAGTTTTGTTTCTCTCAACAAAATATTGCCGGAGATATTATGTCTCAAATTTGCTGAACCCTCAGGGTCATATTATAGAAGGCTGCAGTATGGGGTCACACAAATGACTATATCTCCGCAAGTATTGCATCGGCACGTGTAATACTTTACCAATGTTCATTGAGGATATGTGTGCATGTTCACACCAAATTTCATCAAAATCCGTGATGGTCAAGCAGGGAGCCCTAGACCACTTGACATGGAATGACCCTTATGTTTGTAAGTCAAGGACTACCTGTACAAACCAGTACGAAGCACAATATAACAAATATATAAAAACCAAAAAAACCTGTGAGTAATAGCAAACAATAAATGTTCTGCAGCACTCTACATCCCAACCTCTAATCCTTTGCCCAGTACTATCCACAAAGCTACTGGGGATTTTTTTTCTACAGTTCTTCCACTAGAAGTCCTTCCCATCTTCTATTTCCAGGGGATGAATCTGAACTCTGTATAAAAATCTGCTGTACTATGAAAATAAAGATATCAAAAGAATATCAATATCAAGAAAGACATTTGATCTACACTGATTAGCATAGTTGGTGATGTTCAGCAGCAGCTTTCTTGGCTTCTATCTCTTTCTCAGTGGTACCTCCAAAGAGATTCTAAAAACTCCAAGTACGTTTACATCCAAATACGTGCTTTACGTCTAAGCAATAGGCTTTTCCCATTGCATTTTATATTAATGCCTATACAAGGATAAAAGACCTTTCACTTTCTTTGAAAAAAATCCTTACCTTGAACAGGTGTTACTACAGTTCCTTTGAAGTGTGGATTTATGTGTATGTTTTTTGGCTGCTGGGATGCCACTGAAGGAGGAGTCATCAGTATCCTTGGGGTTTCTACTTTGGATGGCATATGAATTCCTTGAGAGGGAGGGGGTGGTGTATGATGCTGAGTGGGGACAGGAAGCAGACCTTGTGGCTGTTGCTGCTGCTGCTGCTGTGGTTGTTGTTGCTGCTGCTGCCGGAAAAGATTCCTAATGGGTTGCTGATGACGAAATATTCTTTCTGAATGTGTCTGAAATTAAAAACAGAAAAGAACGTCTATTACTTAGAGAAAAAAATGTCCCCACAAGGAATACAGGAATCTTATATGGGATTAAGCAGATTCATGGCTGCTGATAGTACCTACAAATTCATAGGGTGCCTACAAACTTTTTTTCTTGGGGAATGGGCAAATGAAAGTGGAGACATCCTAACCTTGTTGAACACCCATGCAGACTGAATGCACAGAAGACTGTTTCTTGGGTACAACTTAGCATTACTTTCTTACGCACATGAGTACAGATAGTCCTCAACTTACGACCACAATTCCCCCTTTTACCTTCATTGTCGGAAGCCGGCTGGGAAAGTCGTGACCCCGGGATCCTGCAACTGTCATAAATACATGTCAGTTGCCAAGCACCTGAATTTTGATCACATGGCCATGGGGATGCTTCAATAGTAGTTAAGGGTTTTTTTAGAAAGATTTTTATTTTTCTCTTTCAAATTCATTCACAAATATAAACTCTTTTTTTTATTTTATTGAAAATTTTTAAAAAAAAAAACCTTGTACAAATGTTTACT